GCGTGTGCTGCATCAAGGAACTATGAATTATTTGCTCGTGGAATCGAGTGTTTTTCAAATTTTAAGCGAATAGTTGGCTTAAAGTTGGTGATGGTTACGCGAACTACAATTAAACATGTTTTTGTTAATTATTGCTATTGTTCCTATTAATAGAATTAGTTAAAAAATTAGCCGTAGTTACGCATCAACCTATTGTTATCAGGTTAGTAATTTGCAAAATCCTGATTGTAGGTCTTGAGTAACTGTAATCTCTGTGGATTTGCTCGAAACATCGACAAACACAACAACATTAACATACCCATTAAAGATGTCGAGTTAGTCACGGATGAAGGGACTATGAGTGGTCTGCCGCAGAAAAAGGTTAAATAGAATTTTCCTAGACAATAAAATATTTCATGAGGTTGATGTGCCAATGAAGCGCTTAGACTGAAATTTGAGTGCGACAGCATTTCATGATCAGGGATAGGTGCACTCGCGCGCTCTCATTTCAGCACAAATAAGTTTAAGATGTGCTGTTTGGTTAACTCTTGTAAAGTGCACATGAGATACGGTACGTGCGTGTCGGAAAACCAAAAACCCATTTTGGAGAGTTGCAAGTCTACATATACTATTATACTAGTATTATACAATTTACATATATATTTGGGGTTTCAAAAGTCCAATTTCATTTCACTAAGAATTCTTGTTAAAACATATCCTAATTATCTTTTGGCATCCCTTTTTTTAAGCGACGACTTTGCAAGCAACAAAAATATCGGCAAATTCCAGATATGACCAAGGATACTATTGACACATCACAGTGGAAGATTGACAAGACTTACCTCTACGAAAGTTACTATATCTTAATGATTGGTACAGACGAATTAAGTATTTTTCTCTACAAACATTTCTGAATAAATTACGAGCATTACAGAGGCAATGTTCCATAGTGATCTTATCGAATTATCTCGGAACAGCACTGCCAAAATACTTTCGATTGGTCTTGGAGGTGGAACAATTGATAGCTTTTTGCATGAAGTCTTTCCGCAGGTGCTCTCACCTTCATAGAAAATTAATTTTGGTGGAAGATTGTCAACCTTCAGATGGACATCACTGTAGTCGAAATTAGCCGCCGAATATTAGACATGGCCAAAAAATGGTTTGGTTTGGTGGAAGATGATCACCACCGTGTCGAGATTGTCGATGGAATTACATTTTTGGCGGAGAAAGCTAAAATAGGTTAGCTTAATATCT